CTCCACCAAGGTAACCGTTGCTAACACTTGCCAATTGCACCAGTTAGCCCAGAATGGGTGTCTGTGCTGCGGATATTACAGGAACATAAAGTACAACATACCAGAAGTGCAGTCAACGCAGGAAAACCGGTAAACAAGGAAATCGCTATTACGCATGCGCAATGACAAAAGTGCCTGTAACTTGGAACCGTTTCATGCAACCTTGTCGAAAATTGAGAACAAGAATGAACATGACACTACCTCCCTGTCTCTGCAATTTCAAGTCCCTGCAGTGAAATCCGGGGGTACAGACAAAGATACAAGTCCAGTTAAGGGGGCTCTCACCCATCCTGAAGGTTGCTAGGATGGACAAATAGCACCAGTTACCTTGCAAACCGTCCCTTTTGTGAAAATATTGTAGAAACAGCAAATGTGACATCCCCGAACTGTACCAGGACTCAAAGGCAACTAAAAACAAGCGATTTGGCAGTACGCATGCGCAACTAGCGCAAAAGACGTTTTCGACCCTAGCTCCGCCCCGTTTTAACGGTTTCCCCCCAGATTTCGTATGTGACCAGTTGGCACGAAAAGGAAGCTTCAGTACAAAGTGTAGACACCGGGGGGGAAATTCGTGATTTGAGATGAGCTTTTCGGAGACTCATAAGTCACGTGACTTTCCTTGTCTGCCCATTTCACTTGGCACACTTGTAGACCATCGACCAAACAGGCAGCCTGCCAAGTTTCAATGCTAAGGACTAAAAGGAAACGAAGATATGAAAGTGAAACAAAGCCATCTCAAAAACAGGCAAAAAGGGGGAAAAAACACGTTTTCCAGGATAGCCCCCCCGGGTTTCAACGGTTCCAAGCCAAATTTCGAATGTGGCCATTTGAGATCAAAAGCTAGCTGGAGTACGAAATCTGGAGACCGGGGGGTGAAATCCGGGGGGACTTCTCCCCAGGGGTAGAAAACAGGGTGCAAACGTCTGAGATGGGGTTTTCCATAGACAATAAGTCACGTGATATTTAGCGCACGACCTGGAAACTTCGTGAACTTATAGAACATCGAACAGTGAACAGCTCCTGTAAGTTTCAGTGTAAGGCGTTGAAAGGGCTGGAAATGCCAGACGTGAAACAAAGCCATCTCAGCCGATTTGTTTTTGAAGGTTATATTAAGTTTCAATATGAGGCACTAAAATTTGATGTTTTCATTGTATGTAGACATGATATATAAAAAATTAATAGTGCCTTGCAAGACATTCATAAGTCACTGTTTATCGAGTATAGGCTCTCCAAGATGGTACCCCTTTTATGAGAACGTGATGAGTGATTACATTTTAATAAATAGTGAAATTCATCACCAATTTCTGATCTTTAATAAAGGGGGCAAAGTCTCTCAGCTATGGGTATCTTCTTGTAGCGCACAGATTCAATGGGTAGCGAGTAGCAAGAAATCCGCATTTTGATTACTGCCACTCTTGTCTTAACTTTCTTTATCAAATCAAGATAAGTTTCAAATCTGACTTCGTTTTTCAATTCACTCTATTCTAAAGACTTAGTTTATTTATAACTGAGGAGTCAAATTTATCCTGGTTCAAAATAATATTCCTGGTATTGTTTAAATTTCTTTAAACATTCCAACCAGGTGAGGAATTCTCCTGTAGTCAAGATGTGGCAGATTTGGAGTATAATCGGTTTATTTACACCATGAATGCTCACCTCTATTATTTAAATGGATGTTTATCTCTAGGAAGTAATCAAACTGTTACAGGCCATAGAACGCAAGTTTTGTCCCTGCATCAGTAGACAGACTATGGTGTGGTTAAATTTTATCCCTCGGTCAATTTTGTTGTGTAATAGATAGTATAAAAAGAGAATGCGTACAAAATAACCTCACTCTACACATGCAGGACAGAAATCTGTGCCTGTTGCCATTGGGTGGTTATTATTGCGGTATATAAGGTAGCAAATAAATTAAAAAAACACTGGTTTTCGTTGAGTGACTGAAACTGATTGACTGCATGTAAAAAGATGAAAACTTAACCTGGTTGAAAAGCTTTCCAATGTGTTAAAGGAAGAGATGCAGCGTATCAACAGATTACTTTTTTAAAGGAAATAAAGATGAGTGGCTCCTCAGAGTGACTAATGCATTCATATCCCCTTTTTTGAGTCATGCATATGTCTATGATTGCGAGAGATCTCCTAATGGTCAACTGTAATTAAACAGAAAAATTAAAACAGACCATTATCAGGGTGTTCATAGAATGTACAACACTAGAGGCATCTGTCACCAAATCTGCTTTTGAATGTTTCAGCAGACTTTTGAAAAGGATTTGCTTTGAACTCAAGATGGGTAGGAAGGGGTTGCATCAGCTTAACTTATAATGCACATACACACATCAACTCAGGCAAAAAAGTCCAGAATTTTAATTGCCATATATATTTGAGAGGGAAGACCCTAAATTTTCAGAAAAGTTTCTAATGCTAAAGGACATCCACTTTTATCTATGATGCCTCGTGTTAAATGGTCCAGTTACAGTCTTAGGAAAGAAACTTGTTTTAAACCGAAGATTAACACTATGCGTTTTAAAAATGTTTCTACCTGGTGGAGTACCTTGGGTTTTCTCGGCCAAGGATTCGTTCACTACATTGGCCACTGATTGGTCCATGGTGGACTGTGTGTCTTGGCTAGGTGCGGCTGGCCATTGTGCTTTCATTGCCTCTGCAAAAGCTAGCTGTACCACGTTAGAAAACGAGGCCGAGAGGGCCTGCATGTTGATGGCCATGAGAGGCTGCTCTGTTGAGGCTTCAGCTAGTTGTTGAGCACTCGGTCCAGGGCAGGTTTCGATCAGTTCTGTCACACGTGCCCGCCTCGCAGAACTTCGCGTGCTTGTATAAGACGTTTGCTTCGGCAGTAACAGTAATTAGATTAAGGTAAGGCTAAATACCATATGTTTCCGCTAAGATAAGATATGATATCAAAACGGTATGAGTCAAAGAGGGGCAAATTGATGGAAGGTCTGAGCTGGGATGTTTATTTTTCATTTGTGTTTTTGTATATGTATATATATATATATATACATATATATATATATATATATATACATATATATATATATATATATATATATATATATATATATATATTCTTAACCTTGAATAGAATAAATTTTGGACAGCGCTCAACTCTGAGAGGAGCAGTGACTATAATGATCAATAGTAGTAAGATTTCAATTCATCGTTTTATTGTTTCGTGTGGTCAAAGAATGGCCACACTCGTCAGGCAAAATTCACGAAGTGGCTAAGCTACGCACCCATAATGGTGATGAATAGGCCAACTCCGCTGAAAACCAAATGGGGAGCCATGTAGCAAGAATTGACATAAATGCCTGGTAAAAGAATACCACTACTCCTCCCTGGCGTATTATGGTCTGGCAAATGCAGACAACCTTAACACCATAGGAATCATGCAAGAGCCTAACAAAATCGTCAATAGCTGAGCCAACATGTAAAGGGTCAGAGTCTGTTAAATCATTAGAACCCAACTGCATTATAACTATCTCCGGTCTGTATGGCCACTGACTCTGTACCATTTTATAAAGGCACGGTGAGATAACTTGAAATCAACGCTAAAACTGTGGGAATCACGGGACAGGAAAAGGCGCAAACAATGAATGAAAGAATCTCCAAGAACTAAAACACGTGGCTCAGCCATTGAATAATAGGAAAGATAAAAGGAATAGAGGGTACTTGCCTTAAAAAAAAATGCCGAAAATTGCCTCAAACAAGTGATGTGAACAATGTGATGGTGAGAGGTCGAAAGGGGCGAGCGCATGGAAAAGCGCGCTTAAGAACGATATCGTCCGGAATGCCCTAAATTCTGATTGACTGGAAATAAGATAGGCTTGGAACCTCCCGCCTTAGCCTGCAAACCATTATCTAAACAATGCCTTGTCATAAAATCCCATTATGATGCCGTCCTTATGGTGTCTTTCATTAATCTTTAGTTTCTAAATAGAATTAGCTATGTAAAATACTAGATGTTTTTTTTTAATTCTCACTTTTTAACTGTTTACAATTTCTTACACTTGTAACAAAAGATATGTATTTTAATCTTTTGATGTATAAAGACTATTATTATTATTATTATTATTATTATCTGACTGGATTTGCTAAAACGTGGCTAAAGAAATTTCAAGTGCATTCAAACAAATTAACATCTAAGTGGAATGGAAAGCAGTTAAAAGTCACTAGCTGTGGCTAAACAATGTCAGCATTATCACTGGCAATAGACGGTAAAGTTCTCTTGCAGAAATATCAGGATTTTATGATGAAATAAATAACATTTGAAACGTCTAGAAATTGTAATCTTCTAATCAGTCAAACTGTGAGGCCCATAGCTCAGTGTTGGCTGAAAACAGATATTAGAATCCACAATCTTTCAGGGTTCTCCTTTCAGGAGTCGAATGAATGCTACTAGGCAGAGATGTCATGGGCACTGGGCACGTAGCGCCCATTATGAGTGCCAAAGGCGCGAATTTGTAGGGGGGTCTGGGGGCATCCTTCCCCTGGGAAATTTTGAAAATTTAAGTACTCTGAGATGCAATCTGGTGCATTCTGGACATCTAAATTTGGCAAATGCCAGGGCTCAATAACGCCCAAGAAATGAAAGTATGTTTAATAACATGCAGTGGATCAATGACATCACATGACTTTTTCCTACTTAGCAAGTAAATCAAACATGACTTGAATCAACTGTTACATGTGTAAACTAATACTGTTTAAATAATCACATTCAAGTTTTAACATATTTTTGAGTAAGTTATTAATTGTCAACTACAGTAGGCAAGGAGAAAGTCATGGCTAAAAGTCATACTCAGAAGCAGTGTCAAGGCCTGAATCTTCGTCATCTGAATCTCTGTCATGTGCAGTCGCCCAAATCTAAACTTGCTGCAACTATTGCCTGATCTTCTTGGTCATTTCTATCTTCTTCGACCTCTAAGACCACATCATCAGTCTACATTCTAGCGGAGAAAAAAACAGCACGCGGTGGTTCTTCCACTTACTCTTTTGATGGCTGTTGTGGCTGGTTCACTTGCTTCAGTTTGTACCTGGACTTGTCAGTCAGCCAAGTCTACAATGAAAGATGATATCTCAAAAGCAGAAGGGAAGACAACAACATGAACATTATAAAATGTGTGTGCTAATGGGAAAGTAAGGCAAGGTATTATTTTCACCTTAGTAGCTTGTTGAATTCTGTTGTCAGCCTCAGCTAAGGTTGGACCTTTAATGGAAACTTGCAGGAGGACATTTAGCAATCATTTTTGAGCAAGCTATGGAGGCTAGAATATGAAGGACAGACGTGTCACAAATGAACAAAAGAAAATATGTCCATTGCATCATACAGAAAAAGATACTACCAAAATAAAAATATCTTTTCTTGATTTGTTTGACAGCAGAAACACCCCTCTCTGGCCAAGCATTCGTCACAGGTGCCGAGTAACAAATGCCTGCGACATGAGACAGCAGTGGATACTGTTTCTGAGACTGGCAAAGCTGTCTCAAAGAAAAATCCATGTCCTGAAAAAAATTAATGAAAAGAAAAATGGTAATCGTTGCAACTTACAGTGTACGAAATAATGGTGATTATTGATTATTATCCTTTTCGTTGCGGTTACAGGTTCATAACCTACCCCTTGAAAGTCAATGAGATCATATTTGAAGCGATGCCATTCTGCCAGGAACTGGTCCACATCACTGCTAGCACAGTGTTTGGCCAACAGCATTACGTCTGCCTCTCCATCGTTTTTGAACTGTTGATGTTCCCTTCTACATTAAAATAATAAAGTTTTATTTGATATTCTAATTGTAACTTAATTAATCAGAAGAAGGTACTTCAGAAAAACATTTAACTCACTTCATTGTACTTACGGAAAGTACATACCTAGGAATAAGCTCTGAATGGAAAACTTTAAAGGCAGAGAAGATGTCTTGACATTTGGAGAAGCGCTTGTTGATATTCTGAATCAGACTTGTCACATATTTAACTTTAAGGTTAACTAAGGGATAACTAATAATTTCTAGTATTGCGTTGCCTCTTTCATAATAGAGTATAAGTGAATTATGCATGCCTAGGGCATTAACTAAGTAAAACTGTACCTACACTTTACGCGTTTCCTAGCGGAAAGTACCGCACCATGACATAAGCGTGAAAACCTACGAAGCGTCTCTAGAAAGATTGATATAATCACGTTCATAAACTAAAAATAAGAAACTATCTTAAAGCAACTAAAACATATTATAAGACAAATGAACAAAACAGCGTTTCAAAACTACAATTCCGTCCCCTTAAAGGCGATAAAATTAGCCTTTACCAAATAACTATATGGCAGGTTTGAAACTCTTAACCTAGCAAACTATGATTTTAAAATATAATGTTCAAAGCATAAGCTGATAAATGTCCATTATAATAACATCTTACTGATCCTTACTTGTGTCAATTGCGTCCTCTGCACTTGACTCCAGTAAAATAATCTTGTCCACTGGTCGCACCAGCTCCGTTGATCTGGTCTTGACTTAAGCTGAACATACTAATCCATCTCTACGATTGCTGTAGACTTCAATTACTTGTCCTAATGGCCAGATACTACGGGGTGTGTTCTCGTCCAGAAGCAGCACAATATCATTCACAGCAAGATTTCTCTGTGGCTTGTTCCACTTTTGGCGTTGCTGTAACGAAAGTAAATATTCTCGTGTCCATCATTGCCAAAATAGGTTGCTGAGATACTGTACTTGGCGCCATCGGTGACAGCTGTAATTATCCTCTCTTGAAAAAAGCTCCAGGTGGCATTGCTGATCCTCGAAGTAGCAGCAAATGATTGGGCGTGAGTGCGTTGCAATCTCGTGGATCATCAGACACCTTTGTAATTGGTCTTCCATTCACGATTGATTCCTCTTCACACATCAGATTGCATAGACCTTCATCGTCAAGAACTTGTTCCTTAAGTAGTGCCTTCATGACTTTCCTTACAGTTCTGATACATCTTTCCCATGCTCCTCCATGGTGAGAAGCAGCAGGTGGGTTGAATATCCACTTGACATCATGTTGCAGCAAATACTCTTGAATTTGAGCCTGGTTCCATTGTTGCAAAGCTTTGCGTAGCTCCTTTTTCTCTTTTACAAAGTTTCCTCCATTGTCTGACCTAATTTCTTCTGGACGTCCTCGCCTTCAAATGAAGTGACACAGAGCATTGATAAAGGATTCAGTGTCCATAGAGTGTACGACTTCAATGTGGACTGCACAGATGGCAAGACAGGTAAACAAAACTCCATATCTCTTTGCTGTTGCTCTTCCTCGATGTACTAAGAAGGGACCAAAACAGTCGACTCCTACATAGCTGAATGGTGGCTTTGAAGGTGTTATGCGACCTTCTGGTAAGCTCGCCATCTTTTGTTGCATAACAGGTGCTTGACATCGCCGGCAATTAAAACATTTGTTGATGGTGCTGCGTACAATCGATCGCACACCGATTATCCAGTAGCCTTGTCTGAGTATCGGTAAGGTGTATTTAACTCCTGAGTGCCCAGAAGCTCGATGATAGTAATCAATAATGAGGTTGACAACGTGATGCTTCTTTGGAAGAATAATAGGGTGTCTTGCATCGATCTTGATTGGTGCATTGTGGAGACGTCCTCCAATTCGTATAAAGCCATTTTCCACAAACGGGTCAAGTTTGCAGATATTGCTACACTTCTTCACTGCAATTTTCTTGTCTTGTGTTTCTTCAGTGACGCGACTAAGGGTTTGCATGTCTTCTTTGAAGCTTTGGTTCTGCACGTACTTAATAATGACTTCTTTGGCGTCCCTTATCTTGCACACAGTTAAGGAGACAATTTCACCTTTGCCTGATTGGAAGATGATTTTCTTGTTTTCTTTGCGCAGCTGGCTCTGTCTGCGTAACATGCCTTTGTAGCGTTGAATCCATGCCACGACCCTTTTCAAACGAGTCCATGAAGAGAATCTTTGAAAGGTTTTGCTAATGTAATCTTTGATTTGTTCGCTTGTTTCACTTGCAAATGCTCAAGCAGTTTTCTTTACTTCAGGATCATTGGGAGAAATCTTGCCCATGTCTGTAGGTCTTTGTGGCCATTCTTCTTCAGGTTGCTTTAGAAAGTCTGGTCCTTGTATCAAGCATTCATTATTTAACAATGCTTCAACTGTCATTCCCCTTGATGCTTTGTTGGCCGGATTCTGTATAGTGTCAACATGCCTCCATTGTGTTGTGGTGGACTGGTCAAGAATAGCGGAGATATTATTTGCAACAAAGGTCTGGAACCTTTTACCCTTGTTTTCTGTGCAGCAGAGAACACAAGTGCTGTCAGTCCAGAAAGTAGATTGGTCGATTGGCAAGGTGACTTCTTGTTTGATCATCCGATCAAGCTTGTAGCTAGAACTGCTGTGGATAATTCCATCCTTGGAATCGCCATAGCCTTGAGTGGAACCAGTCTTGATTTTGCCATGATAAGAGAGCAATGAATCTTGCCAACTGCATTGATTTGACGCAGGTACGAAACTGCTCCATACCCTTGATTGGAAGTATCTGAGAAGTGATGAAGTTCACATTGTTTTACACCTGAAAATTCTTGGGGCTTGAAGCATTGCGGTATTTGAAACTGTTCCAACTTGGGTAGCTCTCTCAGCCAGGCTTCCCATTTCTGCTTGCTTGTTTCAGGGATCAGTTCATCCCAACCGAGACCCTGAAGACACAAATCTTGTTGCATTTCTTTAGCAGGTAACATACGGGGGAAACAAACCCCAGGGGGTCGTAGACGGAACAAATGACAGACAAAATTCCTCTTCTATTACCGGGTTTTTTCTTGTCGATGATCTTAAAACCAAATGTGTCAGTATGAACGTTCCACTGGACACCAAGCGCTCTTTCGGTTAGCATTACATTTTCGGAGAGGTCAAGATTCTTTACTGATGGTGCTTTCTCCAATTTAGGTACAGAGTCGATTAGCTCCTTGGAATTTGATATCTAATTGGTCAGGTGAAAACCTCCTCTTGATAATAATTCGCGGAGTTCACCCACCAACTTAACAGCCTTTGGGTTGGTCGGGACTGATTTCAAACAATCATTCACGTAGAAGTTACGTTTTACGGTTGCTATGGTAACTGCGTCGAAATCTTTATTACCGTCTGTTGATCTCTTAACAGCGTAGGTTGCACAGCTGGGAGATGAAGCTCCACCAAACAAGTGAACTAACATCTGATATTCCTCTGGTTCTTTTCCTAGATCGCCATGTGGCCACAAAAAAATCGCAAATACTTGCAGTCGTCAGGCTGGAGTCGAACTTGGTAGAACATTCCTTCTACGTCGGTCATGAAAGCTACTGAGTCTTCCCGAAATTGCGTTAAAACACCAACTAGAGTGTTTGTTACATCCAGCCCCTGTAGCAACTGATCGTTGAGAAAAGATCCTCGATACTTGGCCGAACAATCAAATACTACTCGCACCTTGCCTGGCTTCTGAGGGTGAAATACAGGATGATGGGGCAGGTACCATTTCTCCCTCTGCACTTGTTCTTCAGTGGTCACCTTTCGAGCGTGGCTTTTCTGCCATGAAGTCTGTATGTTTTTCATGTAAGGTTGCGTCCTTTTGAAGGCGTTTCTTGAGCATTTGAAGTCTGGTCTCTGCTTGAGGCCTGTTGTTCTCTAGGTGAGGCGGGTCGTTTTCCATGGTAGACTGATCTCATAGTGGCCGTTTGAGAGTTTTACTGTACCTTCCATGATGTTTAAAGCGGGCTGATCATTCTGGGACATTGACATTTTAGGTTCGTAACTCGAATCATTAAAATTAAATTTTAATGATTCGAGTTTAAGTTTAAGTTACAGAAATCTTCAAACTGCTTGCTGAGGTTAGCCGTAGGGGCAATGATGTTTGACATGGGTACTTAGTCTCTTTTCGTCCTAAGGGTCCACTGAGCATCCATCCCAGAACGGTGCACATAGCGAAAGGTCCTCTGTTTTTGCTTTCTCTCACCTCCTTTGGTTTCATAGCTCGTGGTACGTCACTGCCAATCAGTAGGCCGATTTCTGCTTCAATTCTTGGTAAATCAATACCCATGAGGTGTGGCCAGTGGTTAATGTCTTCTTGGGTGCCAATAGCTGCCGTTGAGACTGGGAGACTGGGTCGAGGAGTACACCATCGGTAACTCGATTAGGTTTTGGTTGCCAATATCTGAAACCTCTAGATTTACAAGAGAACATTCAATGGTTTTGTTAGATTTTTCCATGGTAGTGAGCGAGAGGGTAGCTCTTTCTCCCTTGACGTTGAGCTTTTTTTAGGAGATCCTCTCTACAAAATGAGGTGTTAGATCCAAAATCTAGGAATGCATAAGTGAGTACTTTCTTATCTTGGCCTTTTATGTTGACATTTACGGGAACCATCAACATCCCTACCACAGAATCACTTGATACTTGAAATGATACGCTTTTCACATAGCCATTCTTTGCTTGCGTTGTACTTGGACTTGTTACTTGTCCTTGGTTGCTAGGTTGATATTCTTTATTGATACTGCTTGGTTTTGGCAGCGATTGTTTCTCGTAAAGGAATGTAGAATGCTTCTTTGTACATTGTTCAGCATGACAGAACCTTCTGTTTGGACAGTCTTGAACAAAATGTCCAGGCACTAAACAGTTAATGCAAAGGTGTTTACTTCAGACGAACTGATGGTGGTTGTATAAACTCAACTTTTTAAACTCATCCCATTGAGATAGCCAGTGATCCTTTTGACACGAAAGGCATTTAAGTTCCTTTCTTTCTTTCGAGTTACTTGGCTGCTTTTGCTGTTGGCTTTGTCCCTGACCTTTTGCAGTGAACGGCTTTGCATCCTTTTTCTGTTTCCAGTTGCTCTTTTGATTGAATGGCTTTTGGTCGCCTTGAACTTTGCCAAGGATCAGATGGTTGGTGGCTCTTGACATTGTTTCAACGAAGTTTGTGTTGTCGTGCAGGTTAGGATCCCTGTTGAAGGCATAAATGTAATAACTGGTCTCAAATGTAATAAAGGTCACAAGTGTAATAACATTTGGTCAAAGATGTAATAAAGTTCACAAGTGTAATAACATTTGGTCACAATTGTGTTGAGGGCTTGCGAAGCTTGCTTGGCTTTTTAATGAGAGGACCGAGACTCTGTTCTTTCTCTTTAGACAGCAGTTTAATCTTCAAAAGCTTCTGACAGCAACTCTACTACTCAACTAATTCTACTAGCTAACACAGCGAATTAAATAACCAAATTGTGGATGTGTTTGGGTTAGCTGACCATGAGACCCTTCCATTGCATATCCTGTCGCTGAAATTGTGAACGATAGAATAGTCTACACTGTCGCAATAAACAAGTACTAAAGAGCCAATTGCCGGAATGCTAACGGTAAAACTGCTCGTTAGGACCAAGCATACCAAACAGGAACTTCAGTGGAGGCAAAACTCAAGGTCAGCTATAATCCCCGAACATGCTTACTTCAAAGAGCCACAATAAGTTTAACAAATCCTTTCGATAGATGATACTTCTCAAGACTCGGGAACTAACTGTGTGGATAGACGATACTTCTCAAAAGTCAGGAACTAACCGTGTGGCCTATACATTGAATTTCCTAGACTATGAACTGTTTATTAAGAAACTAGCACGTGCTACAAAATAATCATTCAGATAGAAAAACCTTAAAAACACCAAAACTCTAAAACAGAACTAACAGCAACTACTTCATAACATTCCTCGCCGCCTAAACTGAGCATCGTCCTCGATGCAGACAGGAGAAAAACGGATACACTACTTTAGGATTATACGGCAATTAAGTACTTCTAGAAGAAAAGAAATGTCTCAAAAAGGAAGAGAAAAGAGTTTATGATATCTCTTCAGCTGCCACTTTTCCACTGTGAGTATATGTGACGATATACTCGTATGCGCTCTCCGGAAACGTTGCCCCACAGTGGCAAGAGCGCATAGTCTTTAAAAAGTCAGCGTGCTCCTTAAAGCATTTGATGCATATGAGGTGATCACAGTGTAAACCTGTCCAATCAAACATGGCGGCACCCTTCATCTCGAAACAAATAATGCACACCCATTTTGCCATGTGGCGAATACGTTGCCAATCAAGATCCATTGATAGTACCTATAAGTACAAAGACATAACAATAACAAAAACTATAATGATGCAACGTGACAAAATGGTCAATTGCTGACGAACTGCTGGAAATTAGCTGAACTATGAGCTAACGACAGGTCGTCAAAAATAAAAATTTCTTCATACTGGTGTGATGCAAAAGCCATAATGTTATGAGCTAGAAAGAGGTAACCGGATGTTTTCAAAGCAAACAACAGAATTGATTCTCTGGAAACGAACGACAGTAATCTTGCGGAAAAGTTGCGCGAAAAATGTCACTGACGTAGCGCTCGTAAATCATGAAATAATGACAAATATGCACGAACTCGACAAGGTTATCTACTTCCCAATTTAGAGATCGACCAAAACCAGAAAATAACCCTAAAAACAAATCAATAGATTGCCATGAAAAAGTGATTTATATGAAATACAGATGTTTTTTGCCTTGAAGAATGGCTGTCACACATACTTAAATAATGCGAAGCGACCACTAACTGAAGCTAACTGAGTAGCCCCAATTTCATCTAAAAACCTCGAAAAATTAACCAAAGTTAAATTAATACAGTAATACATCATCGGTAAAACAAAAAAACGCGAGAGCTTAATACAGTTCAGTTCCTTTTTTTTTTAAGCTTGGAATGTCTTGTCCGGAAAAGTCTTGCTACTGCTCCTTTGCTCCAAATCATCGCGAGTCACAACACTGTTTATTTGCAGCTTTTTTATGACTATCGTTCTTTATGGGTTTAGAACAATGGCCGCATACCTTGCGCTGAAGGTTGTTAGAAACAGGTGCTTGCAAGGGAGGAGGAGGCGTATGTGTGGCTCGACGTCCAAATATCCTGAAGATACATCGGCAAACAATACTAAAGACGATGAAATTGGTCACTGAAAGACCTAGTGCAATGAAAGCAATGTACTCGACGTAACTGGAAATAGTAGTTTCTTCTATCTGATCAATAAGACTGTCTGCCTTCTGCAAAGTATCACTAAGCTGGCCATCGTAACGCTGAAACAACTGATCAAAATTGTCAATCACAGTACGGTTAATCTTAATAGGTGGTTGAATGGTCGGGGATTCTTGATGCAAGTCCAGCGGAGTGACATCATCTGAGTTTGGATCCCACTGAACATATGTAATCATATCAGTTGAAAACAGTGGAAGTGATACCAGTAGTCTTTGAGGACAGGTGCCTAAGCTCCTTTTCATGCGGATGAAACTGACGTTGCACAGAAAGTTATAAACTGCCAATGGAGAAACATCTAACTCGCCGCTGCTTAAAGTTAATGTTCCAGAAGTTGTTGAGAGGAAATATCTGCCTCCAAGATGAATTAGCGGATGGATATGGTCACAGTCTGGGGCGACCTCGTGGTTCCACGGGAAAGAAAGTTTCAGGTTCGGATTCCAAGCAAAACCCAACCATTGCAAGCTAGAAACCGACTTTAAGACATTTTTGGGACATAAAAAACCTACTTCACTACTAAAACACCTATCTAATCCCTCTAAAGACACTACTGGCCTCGAATTTGGACAGTTCATTAAAGCAAGGTTTGTGTGTTGAACAGGCCCTGAAAAGCACTTACCCGAAAGATTAAACTTATGGGGCGTCAAATGTTCTACGACGCAGAAACTATTCTTATCCATGATCTCAGGTGCTAACAATAAAATATCAATATTCAAATTGACCATCATGTTCAACGTCAACCATAGGGCCTGCAAGGACTGACAAACCTTCCTCTAATGCTATTATAGTCAATTTTAAAGAAGGATCAATAGAAAGTTTGGCAGACAAGTGCAAAGAAATAAACTTAGGCAAATCTGAATATGCTACCAACAGTTTATCGTTCAGATGGGAAATCTGGCTTAAAGTATCTTGAAAGGCACGGTTAATTTCTGCAGTATATTTAGAAAGAAATTCCATCGTCAATCCCTCGTGGCATCTGACCGAATTGGCAAATTTTTTGACTTGTCTCTGCCAACTAGTAAACGTGTTTTGAACTATTTTTAAATCCTGAGACAAAATATCCAATTTACTGTTCATTTGATCGGTAATTTTAAACAAATACACAACTTTTCCGTTGATAACACGCATCATACTTTGACAAATAGACATAGTGCTGCTCAGAGTTCTTAAAGTGGCCTTAAGTTTCTTAACGTGATTCTCCTCGCACCTGTTCCGGTCCAAATCGTGGGAAAAATACCAAGACCCCCTGCGTGGCACATCCAATTTGAACGTCGCGTGCGGCCTCTCCCTAGCAACCACTGTCTTTCGTCAACCGACATGCCGCGGCAGAATCGTAACGCCCAAGTTTTACACTCAGAAACAGAACTTTTATAGGCTCTTGGACATGACATTCTCGAAACTTTTCCTACCATAAACTGATAATACCTCGGTAAATAAGTGTCACACTCAACCAAAGTTGAAAAGCCTGGCAAAGAAAGAAGCCAACAAACAACTTTTTGAAAACCACGAACAGTAAGCAATAATTGATCAAGGAACTTTTCCAGAGGTACAGAACAAGATTTGTTACTCATGGCAAAACTACCGCTAAGGTCAGTAAAATTAAGAACTGTGTGAACATTCAAAAGCTCTGTTTCAGCATAAAAAGTAAGCGGCTTAGGAGAATGACTAATTATCAATGGAGCAGGATAAAATGCTACTCTCTGCGTAAGGGAATCAAAATTTCGAGCACGTATCACGCAAAACTGAACAAAAACAAATGTTAGACAATGCAATGGTTGGGATCTGGGCATGGATTCCATTTACTGAAATCTCTCTACAAGAAAACTCTTTGAATACAATCTTGATCCCTAAAGAAAAACAAAATAAAAATGAATCGACTATGAGAGGACTCGCTACTTCCTTGATTTATTGAAATTAACGACTAGGTGTTTATCCAAAATGTTTTGTTCCGGTTCCCAAGTCGCCTGATTTCTTGGAAAATTATGCCACTGAACTAGGTACTCCATTTTGCCCTTTTTCCTACGAGACTTAAGAATCCGATCAGCTTGAAGAATACTTTCATCATCTATCACAAAATGATCAGGATTTGATTGCGACTGCACCGGTCGGTTCTGACGATCTAAATGGGTGCTTGAATTTGCAGAGTCTGAAGCTGGTGGACTAGAGTCAATATTTTTATTGACAGGAAGCTCTGACTCAAACAGTCATCTGGAATATCTGACTCATCAAGATAAGGCTCACTTGGTTCATCAAATAGTGAAGGTTCAATTGGTCGTAAGCTCGGGTCGATAAATGGCTTCATTCGATTAGCATGCACAGCAAAAGCAACTTTCTTATTAGTGTCAGTACGCAATCAAAAATGAACTGGAGACGACTGTTCTACTATTCTGTATGGTCCCAACCAATTGTCTAAAAGTTTCCTAGACAAACCCTTTTTAGTCCGAGGAGTGTAAACCCATACACGCTGACCAACCACAAAAATTGGTTCCGTAGCGCCCTGATCATAGTAATCCTTCATTTTCTGCTGAGCACGCTGCAAATTTTCTGTTGCCAAATTTTGCGTTTACTCAAGCTTTCAACAATATGCTTACGATGTTCAAAAACTGAAGTAGTGATGTCATCAGGGACTGGCGGTAAATACTTGACATCCACAGGTAAACGAGGCTCACGGCCATACAGAACGTAAAAAGGAGAATCGCCGATGACTTCTAAAACTGATGTTCTATGAGCAAACAAAACTAGTGGTATAAAATCGTCCCAGTCTTTTTTATTCTTTGAGACATACATCGAAAGTGACTGACATAAGGTAGAGTTAAACCTTTCGACTAGGCCATCAGTCTGTGGGTGATAACTAGAAGTATTTACGTTGTGAATTTGAAAGACCTTACAAACATCTGCTACCACTTTAGACAGGAAATCTTTCCCTCTATCAGACAGCAAAACTCTAGGTGCACCATGTCTGGCTATGACTTCATCCACCAAAAAAATAGAAATTACAGTTGCTTTAACGTTTGGAACGGGAAATGCTTCACACCATCTAGTAAGGTAATCACTAAAAACGACAACGTACCTGTTGCCTCTATTAGAAGGTGGGAAAGGCCCCAGTACATCAACGGCTACCCTATCAAAGGCATTTTCACCAATTTTTCACCAATGTTCAATATCTTTGTACATTCCTTTCCACCAATACCTCTGCTTAACCTTATTGAACGTCTTATGGACCCCAAAATGTGCACCAGAAACATGGTCATGCATGTTAGACAAAATTCCAAACCGTAACGTTGGTGGAACAACGAGCTGAGAAAACGAGTCCCAAGAATTGCACTTTTGATTGTCGCCTAAATGATAAAGTAATCCATCATGCCCAATATAAAAACTATCACTTGTGAGCAAAATTTTGCGTGCAGCAAGATCGTCTGATAGTAAAACATCACTTTCTAGGTAATCAATTATCTGACTCAGATCAAGATCACGCCTTTGCAACTCTCAAGTTTTCGCCACTTGTGGCTCCTCCTTTTGGAGTGAATTAAAATCGCATGGCACATAAGGATGCCCGGATAAACCAACGATGAACAATCTCAAAATCATACTGCTGCAAAAGTAAAGCCCATCTTGCTAAATGACCTGAAGCGTCCTTAACATTCATTAACCAACGCAAGGAACTGTGATCAGTAACAACTGTAAATTTGCGATTCTGAAGATAAGGTTGAAACTTCTTAATTCCTTCGACTAATGGAAGTGCTTCCCTCTCGGTTGTACTATAATTACGCTCTGCTTGATTCAAACCGCGCCCATTGTTAGCAATTACAACTTCTTTTGCATTCTGAACTTGAGCTAAGGTAAAACCGATCCCCGTGGAACTAGCATCAACAAACAACAGAAAAGGTTCCTTAAAGCTGGGATATGCTAAAATAGGAGCAGAAACTAACGCACACTTCAGCTTGTCGAAAGCGACAGCACATTCCTCAGTCCAATGCAAATAAACACCCTTCTTAGTCAACGCATTCAGGGGATTGGCTATGTGAGAAAAACCCTTTACAAAACGCCTATAATAATTAGCGAGACCTAAGAAATGTCTAAGTTCCTTTAAATTATTTGGAGGAGGGAATTCCTGCACAACACGAACCTTGTCTGGGTTGGGACTTACACCTTCAGGGGTTACAACATGACCGAGATATTCGACCTTTTGTTTAACAAAGCTACATTTCTTCGGATTCAACTTAAACATTAGCTTGACGAAGCTTCCTAAAAACTTCTTCTAAATGTACCAAGTGCTCTTCAACCAATCTAGAAAATATAATTATATCATCTATATATATAAGTGCAAATCGATACTCCCGTCCTCTCAAGATATGGCCCAGAAGCCTTTGAAAACTTGCTCCAGAATTCCTTAGACCGAAAGGCATTACTAAAAATTCGTAAAGACCATTATGAGTGACGAAAGCAGATTTTTCTCGCGCCGAGGGATGAAGTTCTATTTGCCAATAACCTGCCTTCATGTCAAGCGTGCTATAAACGCTTGTTCCATTGAACCCTTTTAAGTCCCAATAGTGACCAATGTCAATTTACTTCTAGCAGTATCCATACACTGTCAAGAGATGAGGTTATGAGAATTAATAAAATGATCACCCAAGAGAAAATGCCTTGATCTGTTATCAAGTTCTCTCAACTGATTCTTTAGGAAATGTATGGAGACCAGTTTGGAGAATTTGTATGTGGATACCGGGGCCTAAAGGGTTAAAGAATCTAAAGTATCAGCAATCAGAGGCAAGGGAAAACTATCTTTCTTCGTTACCTTATTCAACTTACGATAATCAACGCAAAATCTCATAGAACCATCTTTTTTCTTAACTAAAACAACAAGTGAAGACCAAGCACTAACTGACTCTTGAATAATTCCATGTTCAAGCATATTGTTGACTTGTCTATCGATCTCTTGCTTACCTTCAGGCGAAGTGTGATAAGGCCTTTGTTTAATCGGGGTGGCGTCGCCCGTATCAATCACATGTTGAACTAACGACGTTCTACCCAACTCAGAATCAGACAGGGCAAACACGTCACGGTATTTTACAAACAAATCATGAAACTTAACTTTGTCATCAGTTGACAAAATACTATTAGACAAATCAGGCAATTGAGAATAAGCATGCTTTTCCAGCTGCTCATAATTGGATGTCTCCTCAATTTTCTCTGTCGCATTTAGCTCAAAAGCTGCTACATTCTGATCTACCTCCTCAAAATCAGGTAAACGAGTTCTACGGTAAATTTTAACTGGCTGGAAGGAAGGATTAACCAACCTTATGGGGATCATACCGTCATCTGCAACACTGACAAGCTCAGAAGCTCCAAAAACAGAATAGCGATGGTGTAAATCGGACTTCGGAATAATCACACCATTAATGCCAACGACGCTTGGTAAAGAATTGAGTTCCCCTGAAACCAAAGTTTCTGACTGAGGTGGAACAACAAAAGTACGAGAGGCATGGAGCAAAGATATAAAAGCTTTATCCGTCGAATCACTATCATCTTTTAAGTGTACACCCTTAAAAGGAAGCGGATCTGGTTCAGAAGGAAAATTCACCGATCCATTTTCAAAATCAACCTTAAAACAAAATTCTTTAAGGAAATCTCTACCAAGGATAACAGCATAAGACAAATTTTCAATCACACGGGCTTCAAAAGGAAACTCATGAGAATCAATAACAAATTTCATTGGTGACTTTCTCAG